GCCTTCTATCAGAGTGAAACACACACACACACACACACACACACACACACACACACGCACGGTCCTGTTCAAAGTCGGCAAGGGGCCACAAACCGACAAGTGTCCATGTCATGTTCAAGACACCATGCCCAAACACAGGCCATCATCTTCTCTAAGAAATACATTGCTTTCTGATGTTTTCTACGTCAGGAATCATCATAGGTTTTCTCCCAATCCAGAACCGTGGAAATGCATGTACTCCCTAGACAGAAACCTTAAATCCATCGCTGAGTCTTAACCATTCTGCTTCCTAATCTGTGCTCAAGTCTGCAACACAGCTCCCTTAGTTCAGGCCCATCATTACCTCTGATCTGGGAAAATCCACAACTTTCTAATGGGCGCCTTTCCTTGAGCCCAGCCAGCAAACACACTGCCTCCTCCTCCATACTGTACGGTGGTGATATGAGTTAAGTGTTATCCTCTTGTCTTAAGAGATAATGGGTCCTCATTGTCCCAAATGCAACCTCCTTATAGCCCTTGACAGGCCTGTAGTGGTGCAAACACTAGGTGGTGCTTTGCTGCTAAACAAGAGGTTGATGGTTTGAGCCCAACTTTCTTGAGTGGCGTTGTAGATGGAAAGGTCTGTTGATCTACTTCTATAAAGATCACGAGCAAGACAAGCCCGGGGAGCAGTTCTGCTCTGTCCCCTATGGGACCACGTGTCCCAATCAACTCAGTGGCACAGAGGACACGGCTCCTTTGCTAACTATTTACTTTCTTCACTCACACGCGTTGAGTGTGTTGATGTTTTCACTTTTGAACAGAATCAGAAAACAGGCTGCACAGAGTCCCAGCGAGTCAGAAATGAATTGATGGCAATGAGTTTGAGTTTTGATGAATACACCCTAAGTGCTATCCTCTATTCTCGGCACATTAGATGCGAGGAGATAAATGTCACTTATCTCCCTATTTTACAGAGGGGAGACGGAAGCTCCAGCAATAATGGCAGCCTATTTGAACATAGGTCTGTCTGTCTCCCATGCCTGTGCCCTCAACCCAGCCTCTGAATGTTCTATCTTTATTGAACGACTTGCAGCCAGTTGAGTAAAAATGTGCTGTGTCATGTTTCCAGTAGTTTAAATATATGTTCCTTCTGCTTGAAATGACTCCTTTGCTCACATGCCTAAGTGTTAATCACCCTGTGCTGCTCATTCTACTAAGGAGTTCTTCGGTGATGGCTCTCCTAAGTCTTCCATCCCTCACTCCAACCAGCTCCAGATTTAGACTTGCCCTCCACTGGAGAATTCAACAAACAACTTCGGTCCACCACTGATCAAACATGCAAACAAGATGCATTCATAATTACTAGTGATTGGAATGTAAAAGTTGGAATCAGGAAGGACCTCTAGTTGGAAAAATAGAGCCTTGGTGATAGAAACCAAGCTGGAACTTGTGTGATAGAACTTTGCAAGGCCAAAGACTTCTTCATTGCAAATAAGTTCTTCAGTATCATAAGTAGTGACTACACACATGCACCTTGGAGAGGGACTACACACACTCCAACTGACCACATCTGTGGGAGAAACAACGGAGCAGCTCAAAATCACCAGCCTAATCAAGGGCCAATCGTGAGACACCTTAATTGCTCAAATGCAAATTTAGGCTGAAGCTGAAGAAAAATAAAACAGGCCAATTAGAGCCAAAATATAACCAGGAGTATACTCATATTACTTTAAGACTATCTCAAGAACACATTTGGTGCATTGAACACTAGCGACTCAACCCCCACAACTAGTTGTGGAGTGATATCAAGAACACTGCATGTGAAGAAAGCAAAAGGTCATTAGTCAGAAAGGAAAAGATCAAAGTGGGTGTCAGAAGAGGCTCTTAGTCATCAAACGGAGGAGCTAAAGCAAATGCAGGAAAGGATGACAGAAATGAACTGAACAGAAAATTTCAAAAGGCAGCTCGAGAAGACAAAGTATTCTGATGAAACGTGCAAAGACCTGCAGGTAGAGAAGCAAAAGGGAAGAGAACACGTTTAGCATATCTCAAGTTGAAGATAAAATTCAAACCTCAAGTTATAATACTGGTGTATTGTATGGGCAAAATATTGAACCGCACACAAAGTACCAAAAGAAGATCCAAGTCACAGTACTAAAAATAATTAACTGACGGTCAGCCCGTTCAGGAGGTAGCAAATGATCAAGAATGGAAGGTACTGAAGGGCAAAGTCCTGGTTGTACTGAAGGCAATAGTGACAAACACAGCCACAGGAATTGAGGGAATCCCAACTGATGTAGAGCTGAGAGCATTCATGTATTTATGCCAACCAATCTGAAAGATAGTAGCTACCTGGCCAGGAATCCAGTGGTGTATTATTGCATGGGGAAAATCTGCTGGAAAAACTCCCTTTAAAGTGATAAAAAGCAAAGATCTGACCTTGGGGACCAAGGTGTATCTGATCCACGCAGTGGTATTTTCAGTTGCCTCATAGGCATGCACTAATGGATAGGGAAGGCTGACAAAGAATCGGTGCTTCTGAGTGATGGTGCAAGTGAATATTATTGCCTCTACCACGGACTTTCAGAAGAATTGTTTAAATTTTTGTCCTGGAAGAAGTACACTTGGCATTGTCCTTAGAAGCAAGAAGGGTGAGCCTTTGTCTCACATACTTTGGCCATGATGATATCAGCATGGATTATTCCCCGGGAAAGGACATTATGCTGGGGAAAGCAGAGGGTAAGCCAAAAAGAGAAAGCCCCTCCCTGAGATGGATGGACACGGTGGCTGCCACAATGGGCTCTAACAGAGAAACCATAGCAGGACTGGGCACGGTCTCGTGTTGCCGTACATGGTGCTGCTGTGAGTTGGAACAGACTTGAGAGCACCCAACAAGAGTCAAACAGCAAGTCATAAGTTCAAGACCCATCCCACTCTGGGATGACCTCATTACCTTGATGGACACCACCCAAGAAAGGCCCTTCTTTCTTTCCCCTCCAGGAGGACATTCACAGGCACAGGGGTTAAGATTTTAACATATCTTTTGGGAGACACCATTTAATCCATAATAGATTGTTTATATTACATTTAGATTCTCCTGCAAGGGGGAAACACTTCTTTCCATCCTGTGTAAGCCTGAATTGGCCATCAGCATGGATATATGCAAACCAGTTTCACTGAAAGAGTAGACAGTGGGCGATAGCTTTGAGAGATGGACATTGACCTTCTCTCTTGGTCTATCGGCTAAGACTGTGGGGAAAATATCATTTCTACGATGTTAAGTGTTATCTTCATTTTTCACACCAGAGACGCTGCTCTCTGAAGCACTGCTAAGGAAGCATCTTCTGGTTGGCTGGATGTTTAGAGAGAGTGTGATTTATGACTCCAAGTGATCTACATGATTTTCCCCCCTTACATTTTACTTTTAGAGAAAGAAAAGATTTCTGAGAGAAGAGAGTTGGGACGTGAAGGGAACTTCTGTAACCTTTAATAGAAATTAAAGTTGCTGCCTTCTGTCTAAGGTATCTGCTATGCGCAGGCTTAGGTCACTCAGTGCTATGACTGCTGAAGGTCACTTGGTATGGGCATCCATCTGGAGGCATCATGCAAGTCAAAGTTTAACAGGTCTTACTGGCCAATGTTAAGCTTTCAAGACTGACAAGCAATGACAAGCTAAGCTTTCAAGCAATGATAAGATTTATTTCCATTCTTGAAGATCCATCTCCTAATTTTCTTGCATCTCAACCATCCAGGGACAAACCGGTCCTTCATTAAGAGATGCTAGTGTGTCTATTGGTAATGAGCACATGAAGACAGGGATCAATGACAATGATCTCTCAATCTCAGAGTCCTGGCAATGCTGTTGGGTCAGTATTCAGTGGAAGGTTGGTGGCTCAAACCTACCCATAGCTCCCTGGGGGAAAGATGAGACTATTTCTGTTCCCACGAAGATTCTCTGCCTCGGAAACCATAGATAGGGCTTCTGGGAGTTGGAATTGACCCACTGGCAGTGGGTTTGGTTTTAGGTTTAATCTCAGAGCACACTAGAGAGGAGATACTCTATATTTGTGTCTCATGACCAGCAAGCGCTCTGTCCTGTGAAGTGCTGTTTACTGGGGAAGCTGAAGGGCCTAGCAAATGCAAGGTCAATGTGGCCGACTAACAACTGCCTCATTGGAGGAGTCATCTGACGGCATCAAAGTTAATCTTACTAGTCCATGCAGTCTTCTTGCTACAGAGAAATATGTAAATATTTGTGAAATCTCTAATCCATCTCAGCTGCCAGGATAGGGTAACAGGATAAGTCAAGCGAACTTCCTGGAGGCCAGCAGCAGTTTATGATTATGATGAGCAAATGCAATCTGCCTTACCATGGATTGCCTGATACTGGGACCAAAAGTGTTTCTCGTTAACTTGTGTCCTAAGTTAGTTAGTTTATTGTGCCAACCTGGTGGATATACACGTGGGGTTAATTGAAGGGCAGAGGGATACATGGGTTGGTGAGCCTCGCCTTTCTAGTTTTTCGGGTCTCTTGCTTTCTGACGGTCGGACCAGGGTGCAGCTGCCTTAGGCAGTTCCCTGTTAGCTGGCTAGGCTCACTTTCTGCAAGACATCCCTGAGGAGAAGCCACATGGACCTACCCTGATGCAGTCCTGGGTGCTGGACCACCCGTGTGGAGACCCCTACCAGCGCTGAGATGCTTACATATTCACTGACTCGGCTTTCCTCCTGCAGTCGGCATCATTGCATCTGTTTTGTGAGATGGAGGAAGACTTTGTGGATTGGTGTTGGACATATGGATCATATGGATTAATGGGTTAATGTTGGACTTGTGGGCTTGGGCAGCACTGGGTTGGGATGTTTTCTTGATGTGCACTTAACCTTTATATAAAATTCTCTCTTATACATAGGTTTCTGTGGATTTGTTTCTCCAAAGTACCCAGACTAATACATGTCCCAAAGACTCTGTATCCAAATTCTTTGGCACAGGAGAGGCCCCGGAGAGCCAAGGTACATACCTGTTGGGATGGTACTCCGGGCTTGGCTGGCCACTGGCTGGGCTGAGTGCCGCAGACAACTGCCCATCGGGGGAGAGGCTGCCTGGTGCTGGGCATGAGCCTGAGGTGTAGTGAGAGGAAGGGCTGGTCTGGTGGCAGTGGCTGGGCTGCTCAGACTTCCCCCACCTGGATGGATGGTGGTGGTCATCCCTTTGGCCAGCGGAGACCCTCCCAGGACATTATTCCGGGGTGGTCCAGCCCCTCCTACAGGAACCCTAAGGTCAGAAAGAAGAATCCAGTTAGGAGAGAGGGCTCACAGGAATTCATGCAACACAGGCGACCGGCAAAGGCTCCCTATTACCTACTAGCCTGGGGAGATTAAAACAATGTGGTTGAGTGAATACAGTCCCCAAAGCAATGGCCAAAATATTCTTACAGTTGAACGATGTCCAGCGCTCCAGCTTAGAAGGACACTTTTTATAAAACCCTCACGGGGACAACTTTCCGTGTGACTGTTCACGAAATAGCAAACTGTCCAGAAGAAACAGAAGAACACTCTTAAATCAATCAACTATTTGGTAACAGAGCGTCTGCCTCAAATCATTCTACTAAGCAGCCGTGTGTCCCCAAACACATCCAGAAAACAAGAAGTAAATAAAAAGGATGACCGAGTCACGTCCCACCAGGCTTTAAAACAGCTCACAGCGTGGCAGGGGAAAAAAACAATGGAAAAGCAGCTGACTCCCCCTGGAGGGGGCCGCCATTTTGGTTCTGCCGGCCTCTGACCAAGACTTCTGGGAAAGGGCACAGAAAACAGGACACCGTTCTCAGGGATTTCAGAGAACTTGCGGTTTCATTCTAGAAATAGATGTCCCTTTACCCTAATGTTCCCAGATGAAACCAGTTTAGAGTGTTTAAATAATACAAGAAGAACACAGGAACTTTGTTACTTGGGCTTTGGGCTCCTGTCCTCACATGTCCTTTGACTGAAGTCATGCAGTAGCTGGGGAGTGTAAGGTACTGCAGATCTGAGGGGCTTGAACGCTTTCCGGGGCTTGGGTTCAATGTGCTTGGAATTTGACCAAGTGGCTCCAGAAATCAGCAGCCGGCAAAATCTCCTGGTCCCTTCCGTTTCGGATCTCAATCTTGATGGCACAAAGGAATGCCCGGGTAGGCTCCTGATCTCCCGGGACAGGCCTCAGGACACGATCTCCTGGCATGGTTTGGTACAATTGGGCGAGGACTTCAATCGAGAGGAACCCCATCCTGAGCAGGAGCACCCGGCCAGTGTGTCTGAGCATTGGATCCTACGACTGGGACCCAACCATCAACCCCTCCACATCCTTCTGGAGCAGGACTTCTGTTTCTTTAGTCCATTGAGCAGTCTTGACATTAACCTCTGGCGCTCAACTCCGTCAGCACCATAGCCCCAAACAAGATGTGTAACTAAAAACAAACACACAAAAGCACCCCCTCACATTCACCACCTGTTAAACTCACGTTTAGCCTAAAAATAAAATTTAATTAAAATAAAGTGGACCCACAACTTATGGGTCACTCACTAGCAAGATTCTATAGACACGTCTGACCACAACAGATGCAGACTCCCATCTGCTTCTAGTTTGGCCGTGATAAATCCCCTTCTCCTTCTTTCTCGAAGAGCCATTTAGCAAAGGTGTACAGACTGGGTTTCCTGAGTACATGCTATCATTTCTGGCAGCCAGACATCCTCTCCATCCTAGTTTGACATGAACTCTGACTGTCCTCAAAGGTTGTACAGCTATCAGATCCACGCGAACACTCAGCGGCAGGCCCAGGAAGAGCCTGCCAATCCTGCAGAGCATTGCAGCAGGCCTGGCAGTGAGCACAGTTGTGTGGATACAGGTCTGTCTGCAAAGGACTGTGCCTTCTGCCCATCTGCTTGGCCTCTGTCCTAAAGAGCCACTGCTTTTAGTTGGGTAAATGCTGGAAATTTCCCTTAAGAACAGCAAGGAGCTTGGATCCGAGAGGTTATAAATCTGCAGAGTTACAGGGAGGGTGGGGGGCAGCTCTCCTCCACTTCTGTGACAAGACTGTGAAGCCTTTCTTCCCAAGGTGAGCGATGGAGCTGGGTCAGGCAGCCAGTGCGAGCCTTCGAGGGGCTCCTGACAACGCCTTCTCCTGGTGACCAGACAGTGGCTACCCAGTGCCCCTCCCAATCACACTGCAGTGACCGCGAGGATCTCGGTTCAGTGATGTGAGCTAAGGGGCTCTTCTCTTGCTCTTTGTCTTCCGAGGTTGAAGACTGAGAAGGCTTGAAGGGAAAGAACAAACGATGAGGCTCACAAACAATGACGGGGTGAGTTGACCCAGGTAACCGAAAGCGGTTCAAATCTCATTCATTCAAGAATTTTCTCATTAAAAAAATTAAAAATGGCCTATACGGTATGGAAAGACAGCTGTTGAAGCTGAATCCTTATCAAAACCACCAGATTCCACATGTTTAATCCACCTGCGCTTGATGAGCACCTGGTACGTGCAAACGGCATGCAAGGAGCTGTAGGAATGCAAAACTGGAGACGGCTGTGATCAAGGTGCTTCTGAGCTGGCCACCACACCAACCCCCTGATCACAGGCAGCGCCCACAGAGAGCATCCATTGTGGCAGTTGTGTGTGTGTGGGGGTGCGGGTGGGGGTGAGGACAGGTTTTATGGAGCAGGTGGCCAGAGTATTGAGGTCTTGTAAGGATATGTTGGACTGATTTTTGCAGTTGGAGGAGATGCAAAGGTATCGCGGATTTGGGGAGAGGGACAGGGCAGCCCAAGTGGTAAACTGCACGGTGGCAGCAGGGGATGACAAGCAGTTCAGCGTGACTGGATGACAGGGACAGAGCCTAGAGGTCACAGAAGGACTTGGAGAGTTGGTGTGGAATCAGGTGATAGAGGATCCTGAATGCACACAAGGAAGCCATATTTAAAATTTCATCATTAGATCCCTGAAAGGTGGGGGAGTCGTTCCCCACTTATAAATAAACAGCAAGAGAACCACCTGGGAGACCCATCACCTAAGTAGGTATCTTTCAGCTCCGTGTTACTGGAGTTTGAGGCATGGGGCATTTCTTGAAATCCCTGCTGAGGGGCATCTGAACTCCATGAGTTCAATCATCTCTTAATCCTTTTCCTTCCATACCTTTCTAGATTCAGGCCAGACTCCATTCTCTTCCTCAAGTTCTGACTGAGCACCAGGAAGCATTCGGTTAGCGAATGTGTTGAGTAAAAACCACTGCAAGCAAGGACTATTGGTACTCTCCCATCTACCTCCTTACACAACTTTGAGAAGTTTGAATTGGTCTAACAATCAGCGAAAGATTTCAGATCTTATTTTCCTTTGTGGCTGTCATGTTCCAAGGGGAATAGAATCCCAAAGGCCACAGTTTTAAATGTATGTGTGTGTCTTCGAGTGTGAACACAGGGAATTGTCCATCAGGGGCTTCCGTGAGTATGGCCGAGAGACACGAAGTCAAGCAGCGGCATCTCTCATCGCAATGGACAATTCTCAGACAACTCTGGGCTACCTCTTTGGTGAAATTTCAAAATAACTTTGCAAATGTTTTTTTTAATAAAAATAACAGAATCATAGAAGATTTGTAAACACAGGAAAGCACACGGAAGACAATTTTTAAAAACCACCTAGCATGTTAACCCTTTAGTACCATTGTTATCCCTTGTCCTTTGCAGATGTACATATATGCTTTATGCGCCATAGGTTTCGATGTGATAATAGGCACACTACGCACATGTACGCATGCACATATGCATGATCTTTGGCGACTTTCTCATCCCTGGTTAGTAATTGCTGTTCTTTCAACTCTAATTCATTCTGTTTCCATCCTTCTCTTTTAGGGAGCCAGTGTCGTCTGAGGTTAAATCACACAAACCCGGCTAGACAGGCAAAATGACTGTCAGGATCTCCCTTGCTTTGTCAACCAGAGTCACTGCTGCAAGGAGACCTCGGAGCTCCTGTGACCAGATCCCTATGGGCAGTCGTGGGCTTTGTTCTCGTCTGGATTGTCCCTTGTTGGGATGGTCCAGACCACAGCATTCCCGCTAGGCAGCGACAATTGCATTCGGAGAACTGCAGGGAAAGCTTACTGATTTCCAGGTCTGCTCAGCCCTCACCTGGAGACAGGCGTGACGTAGTTTCCAGGGAACACTCCTGAGACCCCAGTCCTGAGGGACGTCCCCTTGAACCAGCCATCCTGGCACTTCTCAATGACTCGGTACATCTCGCCCTTACGCAGCTCTAGCTCGTCGTTCTTCTGGGGCTTGTAGGCGTAAAGCGCCAGGTACCTGTGGGTGAGAGAGGAAGGGCCAGCAGTAAGTGGATAAGTTCATGGGGTGGATGGGCACAGGAACACCTGCATCACCTGGGACACACTTGAGGGCTCATCTGGGGGTGAAGCCTACCTAAAAAAGCGTAGCTGATGTCTGTGGGGGTTTTGCAGGTAAAAAAGAACTTGCACACACTTCATATCTGACTTAATCTTGATAATAAATCAATGACATTGACAGGAAAGATGGCAAAAAGGACATCACTGGAACACCTGTGAGAAGCTGGGCCCAGGGCCAAGTGTGTCATAAACCCGGGTGGTAGCCATTTGTGTTAGCCTGGGTAGACTAGAGAAACAAATCCAGGGAGACGCATATATGTATAGGAATGAGCTTTATTTCAAAGAGTGATTGTATCTTAATAAAACATTCCAGCCCAGTCCAGATCAAGTTCATAAGTCTGATATTAGCTCATATGTCTGATACCAGTCTACAAATTCCTCTTCAGACTCATGCAACACATGCAATATGCCAAATGCAGGAAGATCACAGGACAGTGGGTGGAAAGTCTTGTGGATCCAGTGGCAGTGGAAGCATCTCAACCCTGGTATGGGTCTCCATGTGGCTCCTCCAGCTCCAGGGCTCTGGCTGCCATCAACATAGCTCCGTCTGGCTTGTCAACAGGAATGTGAAGCAGAGAGAGTGTGTGTCCCGCTTCCAGGAAGGGAGTCAGAAGTTCCTAGAATCCTCAGGAGAAGGCCATGCCCACACAGAGGCCTCATTGGCTATGACCTGATTGACAGGCTAGACTCCACCCCTTTGCTCAAGTTGACAGGAGAAGTTATGTAACTGCCACACCATTTCACCGCTGAAGCTCCAGGTCCTGGGAGTGAAAGGCTGGGCCCCCAAATCCATAGTAGGGCAAGAACAGGCTGGGAGCCTTGAAGCCAGTCACTGATCCTTGAACTCATCTCCATTCCACAACCTTGTTCTGGTTCTGGGAGGGCAGAGGAAGCATTGTCACTTGTCCATTTCATAGATGGGAAACCAGCTTCGGTGAGGTTAATCAACTCTCCCAAGGCCCTAGAACACCCAACAAAACCATTGGCTGTCAAGTTGATTCCAAGTCGCAAAGACCACGTGTGATGTGTGCAGAGCGCTCCATCGCTTTGGTGGCTCTGATCTTTCAGAAGCTGAACACAGCCTTCCTTCTGGAACTGCCAACCTTTTAGGAAGGAGTTGAGCGCTTAACCATTTGGGCCAACCGGAGGGAAAGGCCCTATAGTGTGTATCCGAACAGGATCCCTCAGGCGAGGTCTTGAACTTCACATCCTCCCCACCCCCATTTTTTCATTCTATCTAAAGTAAGAGAAACCAAGTGTGAACCTAGGAAGCATTTGTAGACTGACTTTTCTGGATTTAGTCTAAGGCAGCTTTTGGCTTATCTGCCTGATGTAAATCTAATAAATCTGAATTGGAAAAGATCTCAGAAGCCTTTTGAAAGGAGCAGACTGTCTAGTTAGGAAACTGTTAGTCTTCTTTTCCCTTGTGATCTGTGTGCGATGACTAGTTCATTCAAATTCTACTTTTCTTTTAAATCTTACTTGCAGATAAGAAAACATCAAATTATGAACACAGTTGTGAAAATTCTGGTCTGGAGTTTACAAATGATGCTATTAGCTCAGCCCATGACCCCAAATGGGCCCCTTACCTCATAGGCTTCTGTTTTGTAAAATACCTAGTAATACCTGGATCACAACCTCACAGGTGCTTATGGGGATGGGAGCAGAATTGCCTCAGTGTTTTGCTACTTTGGGGGAGATGGGAAGTGGTAGGTTCTGAACCAGTGAGAGATACCCGTTCATAATATTCAGGCAGGGAAATGGTAGGTTCTGAACCAGTGAGAGATACCCGTTCATAATATTCAGGCAGGAAAATGGTAGGATCTGAACCAGTGGAGAGATACCTGTTCATAATATTCAGGCAGGAAAATGGTAGGTTCTGAACCAGTGAGAGATACCTGTTCATAATATTCAGGCAGGGCAGTTGGTGGAGGCTGCAGGTCAGTAAGAGACCAAGGGCGCATTTTAAAGAAGTGTCCCCAGTCAGATGTCATCACACCAGTGTCCAGGCACCTAATGAGCAAAGTAAGCAAGGGCTTACTGAGCTTACTTCCTAAACTCCAGGGAACAATTTCAGTTTTTCACCATGTCAAAGATTCCACTTCCAGGAATGACTGGCGTCTGGCTCTCTCCGAACCCCACACCATCTTCCTGTCAAACGATCACTGCTGACAAGGGTGGAGTACCCAGTAAGCACAGGCTTATTTGTGCTTTCTTACTAAACAGCAGGGACTTATGTCCTATGGGTTTCACCCCAGATGCCAAGTTGCTCCCTGCAGATGAGAAAGTAAGCACAAGTAGCCAGCACTGACCTCACCCACTGGGTAACCTGCCCCATTTCTCCTCAATATGGTATTACTTGGTGGGCACAAAGCAGGTCCTTCTATGAGCCTTGGGCTCCCAAGGGCTCCTGTGGGCAGCAGGTTTCTGGGGGGTCTTTGGTAGCCACCTAATCTGGTATCAATTTAAGGATTAAGAGTGTAGGGGTGGAGTCTAGGCTGTCAATCTGGAGATAGCCAGTGAGACCTCTGTATTGGCATGGCCTTCTCCTGAGAATTCTGAGAAATCTGGGACTTCCTCCTTGGAGGCAGAAGACACCTCTCTCTCTGCTACTTCCTGGGAGACATTGCAGAAGAAAAGCCACATGGATGCAACCAGACCTCGGAAGCCGGAGAAGCCAAACAGAGACCCCTGCCAGCGCTGAGATGCTTACACTGGACCCTAAGACTTTCTACCCACTGGCTTGTGATTGTTCTGCATTTGGCTTCATTGCATGTGTTTCGTGAGTCTGAGGAGGACTTTATGGATCGGTATGGACATATGGGCTAATATTGGACTTATGGCCTTGGACTGGACAGGGTTTGGATGTTTTCTCAATGTTCCATTGTTCTTGTATATAAATCTCTTTCTTATACACATGTGTGTCCATGGATTTGTTTCTCTAGTCTACCCAGACTAACACAGGGTCTGAGGAAGCTCAGGGACCTCCCAGAACACTCTCCTGATTCTGAAAGGGGCATTTGTATTAGGCACACACACAATAGGACACACTGCCGTTCAACTGCGAAGAATGAGGCTTCCTGGCCCCAAGAGGCGTCCTGGGCGGATACAAACACGATGAACACACTGCTGTTGACCAAACCTTTCAGACCACCCAAGGTGCCTCAGGGAAAAATGACCCTCACTGCCGTTGAGTCGATTCTGGCTCACAGTGACCCTGAAGGGCAGGACAGACCTGCCCGCCATGGGTTTCCAAGGCTGTAAATCTTTTTTTGGAGTAGAAAGTATTGTCTTTCTCCCACAGAGCGGTGGGTATATTTAAACTGCTGACCTTCTGGTTAGCAGCCCACATGTCACCCACCAGAACTCCTGGCTTCAGAATCAAGACCTGGGGACTGACTCAGAAAGATCAGCCGTTCCAGGTTCTAGGGAGCACAGTTCTTCTCCCACACTCGAGTCCATCGTGAGTGGGAATTGGCTAGTTTCTGGGTCTGACCGGTCTCCGGGGAGGGAATATTCTAGAATAGAATTAGAGTCCTGTAGATACTAAAGATTCCCAGGCCTTAAAAAAGAAAAGCAAACAAAATAAAACAATCACCGGCCACCTGTTTCTCACTTCCTAATACTGTGTTTATCCCCAAGTATATTCTTTTATTCAATTCCAGTTCTGCTTACTTCCTTTGTTGACAGTTTTGCCCGCCCCCTCCTTCTTCCACTGGGGCATCGAGTGCATGAAAAGAGTGACATAGAGTGTTCTTTCTTTCCCTGTGTGGAAAGATGCATACTGAGAATGAGGAGTGACTTCTGAGCTCCCGGGAAGACAGACCACACCGTCCCACCAAGGACGTCTCCCTCTTCATGAGCACCCGTAGTCATGTGTTTGACACGACCCCCAGGGGACAGCATGAAGCAAAACCCAAGCTGTGACCATCCTGTGCTCCCATGTCCCGATTCTTTGAAGCACTATTCGATGGCCAAGGAGGAGTTACTATAAATAGAAGAGCCACCAGACAACTGCATGTCTTCCAACAAAACCCTAAATGCAGGGACTGTCTCACGGCTGAGGGTGGAGGGGCTGGGGCGCTCAGACACCCCTCAGAGTGAAGGCAAGAGACAAAATAAAGAAAAAGGAGCTGAAGAGGAAAGGCGCGGCTGGAATTGGGGGGAGGCTGTGAACCCATAAACACGACACACGCGTTTCGCATCTGCTCTCAAGGAATGGTGACTGACGCTGAAGTCCCGCTCAAGCTCGCCTCCTTCTGTGTCTCACGAAGTGAGAGCCCTCTCTCTGATTCCCTGGTCAGTCAACAAACAGGGCTGATGAGTGGAATACCGAGCAGAGTGATGGGTCCTCAGGGTATGCTTGGGTCCATAGGCAAGGGCGTGTGACACCAGGCCTAATCAAACAATGAGATTTCACTCACCACCAGATGGGAGAAGCTCATTGCACCAGGCCTTTGTTCTGTGGGCATAAATCAGGCAACAGGGAGCCAGCAGCCTGGTGGGAAATAGGACAAGCGAACTGCTCTGTAGCTGTTTCTCTTGGCCGTGAAAGGAAGCAGGTCATCTGACCACATTCCGCAGAAGTTTGGGGTGAGTTCCAACGACCCACCTTCAGGTTAGTACTAGACGTTGAATGCAAACCATTGGCACCAGGTCGGGGCCTCAACAAAGCTTCCCTCTGGGTCCTGTCCTGAAGCTGTTGAACAGAGGAGGTGTTGACTACCAGCGGGGTACAGTCCCAGCCCCAGGCATGCGCACAGGATGAGCCCATCTGTGCCAGCCATGGCAGGTCCCGGAAGTACTCCACCAGGCTTCTAAGAGGTTTGCTGCTTGCTCCTGGTCTGTGGCTCCGCTGGCTCAGGGCTCCCGTGGCCTTGACCCATCCCTCTTCCCACC